CGAGAATATATTTCCATGGAGAAGCGCCTGTGGAATGAGTTAATGATTCGATACAAAGGTACAAGAAGAAGACTCCCTTGAAGAAACTGGAAAGGTGGAAGCAAGTAATTTCTTAAAGAACAGTAGGACTTGAACACTTCCGCCAGGCTTCATTGAAATGTACAGCATCATCAAACTAGATGAAGCTTCAATTTAACGGAAAACTGCAGCAACGAAGATTTAAAACAACGTTAACAGCCTCTGGGTGTGACTCCGTTGATACTACTCACTTCCCCCCCCCCCCCAACTCCCACACTATCCAGTGGAAACCTAGTTGCCTGGTCACGTCCACCTAAATAACCAGTACGTCCTCTTAGACATCATTGTACTGTTGTAAAAACAGTCAAATGGGCTACTGTTGAAAGTGAATTGAACAGTTGAAATAAGACTAATTTGCTGAAGCTGCGAGCAGTGGGTGCCAGTTTTCTGCTCAAGCTGCAAACTCATCTACTTTCCTTATTTTTTTTCCCCCGTTGTGGTAAGTTATAATTTATTACTTTATAAATATAGAACAACCTAACCTAATTTAGGAGTGCTGCAAACTGAATGTAGTTGTCGCTCGGAGGTCGGGTTGCTACTGATTGCCATGCGCCAAGTATTTCATTCAGAGCGAGGAGGCATGTAAAAAGCGAGACCAGATGTCAAACAGCAGAAAACCAAGGCGAAAATGCATCTCCTAAGTTATTTTACAAATAGCTATTTTTTATTCAGGGCACATTATCAACTTTATGACTAATTCAGTCTTAAAAACTGTTGAGCCCATTTTTCGCATTCCACAATCCATATTCACAATTCAGCATCATTGGCCGAAAGGGTCAAAGTTTTGACGAAAGGTAAATCAGTTTTACCACTTTTACGAAGTGATGCTGGGTTCTTAGGCAAGAATCCTTCTGGAAGTGGCATACATCCTTAAGGAATCCCTGCCCCAAGCATAAACCATATGGTGACCCAGCATCAGGGGATTTTACCATGCTTAAATTTAAAGTACCAGATACAAAAGAATAACTGGGTTTTTGTAGTTGTGCATTCATTTTTTTAAGTCAAAGGATTTCGGAAGGAAACTGGTGGTTCCATTCCCTCCAGACATAGTAGCTCGACGGGATATGCCCTGTCCTCACTTTGCTTGTCAATAATACGTGTAGAAAGTAACTGCAGATTATATTCACGAGGAATCGCTAAACCCCTAGGTACTATACAATGCCTGTGGAATGGAGAGTAATTACACGAAAGGGGAAAGCTCCAATACTTGGATCAAGACTGACGTCAAGACAACCTTCCCCACCCATTAACCTGTAACCTGTTTTAGAATTTTCCTACGCTCGCAGTCCGGCTTCGAGTCTGGCCGACTCCCTGTTCATTGCCTCGAGAACCTAGTTGTTGCGAGTCAGCTAGCCCACATACAGGCTGCTCTGGCACAAAGCTAAGTTAGTGATAATTTTCTTTTAATACTTTCCACACCTACTCCGGCAGTATTTCTGATATCTGCTGGTAGCAAGATTTCAAGTGTTACTGACCCAAGTGCAGGTGTTCCATAGTACGAAAATATCCTTGCTGTATCGTGTCTTGCCACACAAGACAAAATTTACCCAAATCTATCTCCCAATTTATTACTTCAGTCAACAATCACCCACTCCAATTTGTAATCCAACCCGCTAGATAATTTTGCACTAAGTTTTTTTTGTGCCAAATAAAAATTACTGTAAAAATTGAGAAATTATTTCCCATATATATACTAGACCAGTCAAACAGCCCGGCAAAACCTGCCAGTTAACCAATAATGGTATACAACGCTTAAGACAGCTAAATGTATTACTGAACGACCATGACCCTTTAAGTCTACACCACACCCCTCCGAGGACCATACGGCTGACTATCGATTCCCGTGTATCACCGGAACTCACCCCCCCCCCAGATACCCTCCCGCGGTCCCCGAGACCCTAATACAGGTTTTATTAAAATTTTACCCAATTTTCAGCATAGCTAAGAATGGTAGTTTTTAAATTGAATATCCACGCACTTGCTTTGCCTTTGTTTAACCCTTTCATGAATTAAAGTCTAAATTACTTTAATTTGTAAACCAATTGATTCCACAAGTTTTAATATCATTAGAATTCCAAACTTTCCTTCTGCTAAATAGGTAGTCTTTAATGAATTTACAAGTTTAGTCAAAGTGCAAAACTATTTTAAACATCTCTTAAGGTTGATTAGGAGTAATACAGCCAATTTACTTAACTAATTCTCTATCATGCCCACAACAACCTTCACTCAACTTGTAAAAGGTAAAGATGCGCAAGCACTATTCATTCCGTCACCGATGTAAAGACTTGTCCGGCCTACGGTAATGCCACCAGGATGACCCCAGTTAGCTTAAGACTACATGATCAGTAATGCATTTGACCAGTAAAATAATACATCCAGCCTGTGGAGGCTACCTGCACTTAATGCGAACCACAACCCTTGCACGTGTTGCCGTCGCCCCCAGGGGAGGGAGGATCCTCAAAAGCGGGCGAGGGGCTCTTAGATTCAAGGAATTTGACATGCCCTGCCTTCCTTGGAAAGAACTATAATACACAGGCGCTGTGTGACTCCTACGGACTTATCGGAGGGGGCCGGGAGAATGGGGCGTTATTTAATTCGTGGTCAATGTTTTACAATGCTCTAAATTTAGTTTAGCATTTCTTGGGATTTTTAAGCCAAACAAAACATGGCAAAGTTAATTTACCAAAAGTTTACAACCAAGTTTTATGTATAAACAAGTAACAGTTTGGCATTTGTGTACCGTGCTGCAAAATCTGGAGAGAGAAAAAAAAAAAGCTCTCTCGCAAGGCTATTTCCCCCTTACTACACATCAAGGGGCCTGAACATACAACAGGCATGTGTGAGCGTGTTAGATAGGAGTGAATGGAGACGAATGTTTTTGGGACCTGACAGTTTGAACGGTAATATTTTGTAAAGGGATTCAGGGAAACCTGTTAGCCGGACGAGTCGGGGGTAGTAGTAGTTCAATGCCTGCACTTTAAAGGAGGGGGAGGGGGGTGAGATACTGACTGTTTAGTGACACCTGAACAGTCATATCTTGGAACCTCTGCAAAGTGTGAATGATGGTGAAAGTGTTTCTTTTTATGTCACCCTGCCTCAGTGGGAGTGAAAAAAATGATTTAAGTAATAAAGTTTGATATTTACCAGAGTATCGGCAAACCACAGTTTTTATCAGAATTAAGTACTTGGCCTCCAGGTTACGAAAGTCCGTAATAAATAACGGGTAACTACCTATCAAAGCAAAATTTCTTTTCTTCAGCCTAGAAAAATAAGCTTGTGTTGGTTAAACAAAATCGTACCAAAATAAGCTAGTTTCTCCCAAACTTTTCCACCCAATTTTTAGGTTTGAAGGGTCTAAACCATCCGTCATTTTAACGGGTGGTTTCATCTGTGCGGCAACAGACCAGCCAAAGAGCGGAAACAAGACGAGAGAAGAGCCAACACCCCGAACTCTTCTCAAACTTTTAAGGGGTGGGATTAGGGAAAAATGTGCAGTGGTTAAACAAAATATAATAAAGTAATGATTATAGCCACCAAGAGAGCGAAAGAACGGGGAATTAGAACATAATGAAATAAATGGCAAATATGAAACACCTGTAGAATGCAAAATTGGACTATGTAAGAAGTGTTAACTGGAAATGCGAACGGGCAGCATGGATAAGTATTTTTTTTTATATTCTGTTCTATAGATTATTATATCTATGCTTCTAGTAATGATCACCTAAATAAGAAAATAAATATTAAGAGTAACTTTAAAACCGGAAAATAACGTATACACTGAATGCAAAGCTAAGTAATATTTAGCTGCATTTGTCATAAGGAACGATCAGCAATCGTGCCACTGCAAAACATTGACCATTTTTTGCACTTATGACAACATAATGGTGCCTCCCAGAGTATATGCATCAACCTGCTACCAGTAACTCTGGGGTATGGAAAAATCAAATACAACTATGGTTTCATGAATATGATAAAGGCATTGGATCAGGATGGTCAGCAGACGAATACGCATGCAGCTACTACACAACTTAATATATCCAATTATACATTATGAATAAAGGTGTGCATAACAGATTTGTAAACTTCCTGCCGGTAAAAATGAGTGGTTACAAGCATCAGATACTTTGAAAATATTCAGCTTCCCTTCTACATGTTAGCAATCCATTTGAAACTTGCCATAATTAGTACGAAACACTTACAACTACACTCAGGACAAAAATGTCGAAAACCCCTACCTAAAAGTTTTTCCCTTGAACTTTATCGAATCTTTAAAAAATCACATACGTATTTGGTAACTTATATCCTTTCACCTGTCAGTTTGTGGTAAGTAAAAAATTCTTGACCGTCTAGAAATCTACCCTTCCCAGATAATCTCCTTCCTAGCCACCCAAAACAGTCTATTAAAACATTTTTGAATCTCATTCCTGACACTGCCAAAAGTCACTTCATCTCTTATTTAAGAGTCAGTGTTTTATAATCACAACAAAATGTGCTATATACTGCAGTAATCTCCGTCAAGCACAGGAAGGTCGATTAAGACACTGCGGTCCCTCGAGAATAACATCTTTGACACGTGTGGCTCCACGATCGATCGCTAGTATGTGCGATGCTGCATTACGGGAACACGTTGCTTTCACCCTTATTTACATTCAAACCAGTAGTGGGCGCGGCTCTTAGAAAACGGAAACTAAACAGAAAACGAGACTTTCGGCAACTCATTCTGAATGTGGTAGGAACCGAACAGGCACTTCCATACTAATTATTGTATAGACGACATTTTCAAATAAACTGTCACAGGCAATTTCAACATCTGAAAGTTACGACACTAGAGACTTTTCAATATATTTGCAGTGGCAAACCATTATGTTCAAATTTCAAAATATTTTTCACTTAAACCGCAATATAATATTTTGATAGCTAACCTGGAAGTGCAGAGTTGACTGAGCAGGTCTGACAGAAGCAGCGAAGGAAGGAATCCCTGACAAGCCCGATGAGCATCTTTGCGTTGTGGGTTGACCTTCAGAAGTATGGAAGGGATGGGAGGGTCGGTCGGGTCGACCTGGGAAGGTCCCCGGGGCAGTGGTATTGCTACAAGGCTTTTACCACCGCTCTACACCATGTAAGTCTCCGTAGGCCACCAAGTACAGTTGCTGCAGGATCAAAATCTCGTCAGTGCCGGTTACAGAAGACAATACATATCCTCATAACCGGCTAAATTTACCTGACAAGATTTAGGCCCTGAAATTGCGCTAAAATATTCCCCACACAAAACAGACTACCATATCAATACTGTGGCCTTCAAGGGTTCTTTTGATGAGCTTGTTTAAAATGTGAAAGTTACTGAAGAATTACGAAGTTAAATCTTATTGTTGAGATGGCTAAGAGTTTGTCTGGGGTATTAATCAGCGCGCTGTGGCGGTACACTGCCTGCACTAAATACCTGAATGTCATTTATGATACTCTCCACCAAAGCCCAGCACGCCGTCCTGCTCTGCTCTTCTGACCAACGCAGCTACCGGGGCAAATCCAACAGAGCTCGTGTCTTATGGTAAACACTGGCATTACGGTACAAGCACGAATGGCATGTGCTGAGGATGTACTTATAATCAAAGTCTAACGTTCAGACTATAAAATTATATTAACATGTGGAATTCATCTGACAGTCCAGCAGGTACAAGGACCAAAGCACTGTGGTGGGCGTGAGACAGAGGGCGCTGTGGAGGCAGCTTGGTGCAGGGTCAAAAAAAATGCTTGTGAGAATGCTATGAAAGCACAGACAGTTTACCGCCACAATCTGAGCACTAGGTAAAGTTAACCACGAATGAGACTTTTTACATAGGTACTTTTCTCGCGTTGCCTCACCACAAAGACGTAAGAGCGGTAGCCTAAGGCAGTGTGGTGTGGCGTGGAGTTGATGGCAGTGGTGGTTCAGTGGGTGATAGTGGAGCAGGGGCCGGGGAGACACTGAATGCTCTGCCACTGTCGTCTAGCGGCTGCTGCTCTGCTCCTTCCTGGGTGTGGTTTTCGGACCTGCGCGTTGTCGCTGCCACCACGATGGCTCAACCACTGCTGCTGCTGCTGCTGCTGCTGCTGTTGTTGTTGCCGCCGCCGCCGATTGATTTAGAAAATTTACGAAGAACTATAACCGGTCAAGCATTCATCGCTTTTAGGAATAAAATATTAAAAGGATTTTTTTATTAGGCTAGTATTTTATCTTCAAACGAGACGTGTACAAAAGCCAAAATTTTTAAACCAGGATAAATACAGCATCAAGGTCTAACTGAATTTCACAACCGCAAGTGACCAGTAACTTGTCAAACTATAGCAAACCCAACTTCATAGAAAAAGGAGTAATTTTCAATTTGCAAATTTAATTTTTCGCAGGGCTTACCTGATTTAAAGTTTCCTTTTTTTTATGTAACTGATAGCTCACTTGAAATCAGTTCTGTATTGAACAAGGCTGACTGACATTCGCAAAATTTTACCAGCAACGCCAAATCAGGGTTACACTATCGTAGTGTAATTGTGAACAACCTACTACTACTGGATTATGAGGGCAGTAGGGTAAATTTTATATTTTATTTATTAGTGAAGCATAGTGTCAGTTCAAATATCAGTGATAGAACACTTGCAGATAAGTTGTATAAACTGGCGAGAATCTGCAAAACTAAGATTACATTGAATCACTGGTAGTAATTACCGTAAAACTAAAAACTAGAATCTAAACATCTACCTTTGAAGAGTTTTGCGATTCTACTCTGAGCCAGGCATGGGTCAGAATTTGTCTGGTCAAATCAACTAGGCTGTTGGGAAATAATTATCCACTTTCTAAAGCCTCCAATATTTGTCCTAGCATTTTATCATCATCTAGGTTATAAGATGTCTGGGACTACGACAGCTGGTATGTTATCCTGAGACCAAAGCGCGTATGTTCTGCAATGTGTATTTTTCACTTCCTCTATTACTCTTGTACGTTATGGGACTGAGCCCTCAAGTACTTTCCACGTACAAATGCAGCCTCCTCCACTTCAGCTAGTACATATTTAGGACCGAGGCGTTCCCAGTAACTTAAATGCTTCACTGGTTATGCAGGTCGTAAATGATCCCTGTATTGCAGCTCTGAGCAATACTAACATTACATTGGCACTACTTCGATTGTAAAGTAAAAGGACACAAGTGCAACTAATGTGACATTTTATTATGTTAACGTTTCGCTCTCCAGCTTTGTCAAGCTCCTGGAGAGCGAAACGTTGCCACAAAATGTCACATTAGTTGCACGTCTCCTTTTACTTTACATACTGTCGGGAATTCTACCAGCTTATATACACTACTTTGATTCACGAAATGATATAGTTTGTTTGGCACCATTTCCCTTGTTTTGAAAGTTCTCATTACCCACCGTCATTTTCCTGCCTGTCGTGACATTTGCCTTATTGTGTTCTTTGAAAGAAAGGTTAGCCGACATTACTCCCAGACTGTTAAAGAATTTCTTTCGTTTTATTTGATGATCCTCTTGGGTCTTTTATACAGTGTCCCTTTTGAGTTCATTCTTTCCCTATCTAAGCAGCTTGTTTAACTGTTTTTTCCCCTATGTTTAAAGTGTCTTGTGCAGGGTGATTTTCATGCCTATTTTGGTATCAGCACAGGATGCAAAAACTGTGGTGTGTGTATGTATGTCTGCCTGAGGATAAGAAACAGCGGCACATGAACCATGCCTTGGGGTACTGAAGTTTTTACCTGGATAATGATGGATTTTGCCGTTTACTACCGTGTTCTGGCAGCTTAAAATACACATGCCTACTTTCCCGTTATGCGTATAGCCCTCATATTGTGAAGTCGCCTTATGATCGCATGTCAAACTCCTTTGCAAAATCCATGTATGCCACATATGAGTTATGGTTTTCTTCCGACGCCTCCGTAATAAGTTCACCAATTATACATTTAAATAAAACTGCCGTCAAATGCAGTAAATTTACAGGAGTCTAGTACCTCTTTCTTAGGACTAATGTCTAGGCCCCTTTTACTGTCTTTGATGGAAAAGGTTTCTCTTGGTATTATTGAATTCCTTACACGAAGGATGAATGTCCGAACTCGGCACCATCTACTTTTTATTAACGAAGTAAAGAGTAGATAGATATGCGGAATACAGCGTAACCTTGACCTTTAAATATTTGCTGCCAGTTTCCTGAACAATGATTTTATTTCAAACATCCTTTACATCTACATACACATTTAAGGCGTGGCTGACCAAGAACCAAGCCAACAGATACTTTAAAGACACCTGGGACAACATCCATCATAATTAAGTAGGTTATGTTCAGAATGTGGGATATGGTCCTAAAAGTACTAAAATAAGTTTTAACCATCAACCCTTTTATATCATGCCATTTAAAACAAAAATATTTAAGTTCTAGCTCGTTCTCAGAAACAGACGGCTATTTTCCTCCACTAGTGCTCTGGGGCATTGCCCGTTTAGAAATCACGCTGGTAGTGAACAGTCGAACACGGCATTCCCTATCCTACCCACCAGCGGCAGCACCCGGAACCAAGCAGAAAAAACTTTTCCCTCCAAGAACCTATTTAGGGAAACCCACGACCGTAACCCTTCCACCCTCACACCACTGGAAAGTCCCATGAACCAAATCCCTCCTTTCCACTGAGGGACAACACTACAACCTTTCCCTCTGATTGTGCCCACCCTTCTCACAGGAGTCCAAACTACTTCAAACATATTAAGGCAACGTTATTAAGTATCTGCTACACCCTCCCCCCCCCCAATAAAGAATCAGTTTCCTTAACAGAAGAGGTTCCTGCTGTCAATTTTTCCTATATACATGATGGGCCCCTCGAACTGAGAACACTATGGTCACAGTGATGCCGCGTCTACCCAACTTCCTGAAAGACTTACAAACTTGCACAAACCCTAACGCAATTGTACGGGTTGTACAAGCCTGTGCGGAACACGTCATTTAGCTAGTGTTTACCGTGTTCCTCATAACGCAGTACAACGGCTAATACCAGTCAGGAATTTGTGGAAAAAATCAGTAGCCAAAAGTTAGTTGGGTATTGTGTGGAAGGGCAAGAGTACATCAAATGCCAGCTAGTGTTTTGTTTATGGGAAATTAATTTCTCCAGCCATTATTACAAACAAATCTTAATCTGGACAGATCTGCCAATTTTACAGTATATCAATCATTGAAATACCAATTTATATTTAACCAGAGGCACGTTGGCGAAAATTAATTTATATTTCGACTGGTCTAAGAGGGGCAACGGAAGCATTTAGCCCTAGAGCCTATTTTAAATATTAAATAGGTTTTCATGGTAGCATAGACAAACATTCCTTTATCAATTTGCGGGGTTACCGAAATCCTGTTACATGCCTGAAAGACCATATCTAATGCCTCCTGATCTTAGGGCGCCCATTCTGGAAGGGCTTTTGATTCAAGCCATTTGATCCGACCTCCCCTTCCCTGGATCAAACCCGATTCCCTACCTTCCCCCCCCCACCCCAAGCGCTGTAATTATCCCTCTAACTTTACCTCCTTGGACCGTAGGCAAGAGAGCGTAATCTATACCTAGAAAATAGAGGGACTAGTCCCAAATCTACGCACAGAAACCACTCCAAGAGCAAGAGGTTCGGCAGGCTGCAAAATACTCCTAATGAAATGTTAAGAGTGCCACGAAGGGACTAAGACTTCAACACCAAACGTAAGGGGAACTGCCAACATACCCCTAAAATGAACTGGATAAGTTAATGTTCCCGAAAAGCCGGACTGTGGTGCACACACTGAACTGCACGCAGGTAGCATCAACAGCCTGGTCTGAGACTTGGCAGCAGAGGTGTTGACCTCTCCTGTTGAAATCTCTAACTAAAACATTCATAGAATGACAATTATCCATACTAATTCAAGTTTAGAAACTATTTCCCAATTTGAAACTAAATATCTGATTAGAAAGTTACCCCACCACACTAAGCAGTCCTCCAAAAATAATATAAATCAGAAATGAAGCCAACAAATGACTCTGCTTTTTTTTCCATCTAACTTCTCTGCAACAGCTGTTCTTAACCTCGCATTTTATGAAGCCATCCATTCAAGGCAGGTGAAATCACAGATAAAGAATGTGCAGAGAACTTTTACTGCACACACCTTAACTACTGGGAGCGCTTGGAAGCACTTTACTTTTACTCACTAGAGCGCAGGCGAGAGATGCATCAAAATCTACACCTACAAAATCCTCGAGGGACTGGTTCCTAATCTGCACATAGAAATCACTCCCTACGAAAGAGACTTTGCAGGCGGGGGCAACATACCCCCCAATGAAAAGTAGGGGCGCCACTAGCACACAGAAAACACTAAGTGCCCGGGGCCCAAAATTGTTCAACAGTCTCCCACCAGCCATAAGGAAAATTACCAATAGACCCCTGGCTGCCTTCAAGATGGAGCTGGACAGATACCTAAAATCAGTGCCGGTTCATCCGGGCTGTGGTTTGTACGTTTTACTACATGCGACCAGCAGTAACAGCCTAGTTGATCAGACCCCGATCCACCGGGAGGCCTGGTCATGTATCGGGCCGCGGGGGCGTTGATCCCCGGAATACCCTCCAGGTAGATAACTTGTTATATTACATTAAAAATTAAGTACGTTTATTTAACTTTAGTCATTCACGAGTTGAAACTGACCGTTCCCATTTTTAAATTTAAGTCTCTATTTCTAGTGGCAACTAGTACCGTCCTTAATTTCATACCTTTGTCAAACATTTAAGACAAGGGCACGCCATACCTAATAATGTTTATCTTCCTAAGTGAAACTACTGTTCATCCACTGGCGCATGAACAAAGTTAAGCATACCATACTCCAAATACGAGCTAAACATCCCTACTCGTTTACACTAACTGATCTCTCTCAGCCCTTTCACTAAGATTTCCAGAATAGTGCACGTTTGTGAAAGGAAACTGATCAATTGTGCGCTCCTATGACTGGAGAATTCTAATTTCAATTTTAATTTGCTGGCTTTGCAAT